TTTATTAATTTAGTTTTAATTTTTTATTATTATTATTTTTTTTCTTTTGTTATTTTTCCATTGTTTGTAGTTTTTGCTGAAGTTCAAGTTTACTGCGCGAGCCTTGCGTTTTTCACTGACACCCACCAACAACAAATAGTTAGTGCATTAATTTCAATAATTGCGCCTACTTGCGCGCTGCTCAATACTTTTACTAAAACGCCGTTCTGCGCTGGCGTCGCGAGCGCATTTCGTTTGCTTTCTTTGTGTTAAAACGGAAATTCGTAAATTCGCTAGTTCACTCACGAACGCACGCACCGCCGACGACTTGTGAGTATTTGCATTAATTTCCGTTATTTTTTTTTACATATATTTTTTTTTAATAATTTTAATATTTTTTTTTTAATTTTTTTATATTTTATATATTTTTTTTTTGGTTTTGTAGTGTTTTTGGTGTATTTTTTCTGTATATATATATATTTCGTACGAATCACGTTTTGCTGCTTACGCTTCGCATTTACACAGCTATTTCCCAGCGTTTGTTGCGTTTCGCCGCTTGAATGAGGCTATGTGTGCTTTACCTTTGACAGTTGCCGTCGAACTGAGGCTGTGTGGCTGCTCGTTTATGCGTCAAATTGTTGTTGATATCGCGTCTGGTCGCGCGATCGAAGCGCCAATGGACAAGTGCGCGCCCGCTCGCGGTCAACGAAATATTTAAATAAAATTAATATAAACAAACCATGCAGACGCTTAGGTACATACATACATTTTTGTTTGTATATACATATATGATTTTATGCTTATACATACATATGTAGTATCTTTTGAGTATGTAACAGAAATTCAGTATAATAATAAAATAGTAATTTCCACAATTAGACTGCGAATAAAAAATTAAATTATAATTGGAGAAAATTAATCATTAAATTATATTGAGAAAACCGCTAAATTTAGTTATTTGTCTTTGACTTGGTTTTAACGCTTATCATAAACGCTCGAGAATCTGGCCAAGACCTCATTGTATTAAAATTTTGTTGCCCGAAACTTGTTTATAACTGTTTTAATATTCTACAAATGGCACAAATAAAGCAAAAAACATTAAAAAAAAAAACACACAAAAACACGCTGAAGATTCGGCTGTGTGCCGCGTATCCTTGATCTATTAGGCAACCCTTTCAATGAACTTGACTGCTTAACGCATTTGGCGGCCAAGAAAAATGCTTAAAGCAACAACAAAAATTGTTTTATATTTTAGTGCGCGCTTCTTAACGCAGAAAAAATCTAAATTAGCATAACAATTGACATAAATAAATATAAGAAAAGTAAATATAACAAAAAGTAAAACGCGCTACATACTGCAAAGAATATAATTAAGTTTAGCAAAGCAATTTAGCAGCGCAGCAAGCAAGCTCTTTGGCAAGGCTATGGCTTGTGTAATGAGTTCAAATGCAAGTGTGCAGACATATTAGCGGAGCGTGTTTAAGCGTAAAATAACAATAAACACATTAAGTATGCAGAATTATGTAAGCAATTCAAAAATAAATATAATAAAAAGTCATAAATTTAAGAATATTAAACTTTATGAGTGCGTACAAATGAGGTAAAATTTTTTTTATTAAAAAACAACCGTTTGCCA